CACTTATAAGTGGGAACTAAATGAGGAGTATATATGGTCATAAAGCAGTGTAATGGACACTGAAAACTAAGAAGGGGGGAGTGTGGGAGGGGGATGTGGGATAAAAATCTACCTATCTACCTATTGGGTACAACGTACAGTATTTTTATGAGGGGTGTACCAAAAGTCCTGACTTCAGCATTATACCATTCATCCGTGTAACAAAAAAAACTTATACCCCCTATATCTACTGAAATGAAAAAAAAATCTGCTCTCTTTTTACACAAGCTCCTTATGTTCACTAGTGGCTAAGGCGTAAGGTACAAAATATACTTATTAAAAATCAAATTAAAAGCTGTAACAATGAATATGACTTAGGGTACTCTGGCTAGAAAAAAAGTTAAAATTAAGTTGACCCTAGGTGGTTAAAAACACCTAAAAATCTTTAAAGTAAAATTCAGTAAATACCCATATACCTGGAATAACTTGATCAAGATAGACAGCCAAGAGGACATAGAATATGCTATTAAGTACTAGCATGATAAGAGTAATAATTAGAGGATATGGGCCTTCAGTCAAATTTGAAAATAAAGCACCTTCATTAAAATCTTCTAAATGCATGACCTGAAAAATAGAAATATCAACTTTATAATGTAAAAATGATACAAACAAACAAAAGCTAACACTACTTAGAATTATTCATTATATTCTGAGTAACAAACAGTACCAAACTGGGCCTTTTAACAGATTTATAGTTTACTAAATCAGTAATATAAATTTATAAGGAAAACAATAAAGACTTCACCCAAATATAAGTTTATCACAATTCCTTTCAATCATGTTTTTAATGCTGTGCTTCAGCCAGGATACATCCACTCTAGGGGTACTTAATTCTAATGCAATGATTATCAAATGAAATAAAAGTAAAGCATGATGTTAATAGTAAGTAATGTAAACAAAAAGGTTATAGTCCATTTGGAAACCAAACAAATTAAGTATTAGAGTATAAAATTATGGTATCTTTTCAATATTGAAAAGGGAAAAGGTATTTTGATTAATTAACGCAATTGTTAAAGTATTCATAATAAATATATGTGATAGAATAGAAAGAAAAATGTACGAAAGGTTGAAGCTTCATTTAGGTCCCAGTCCTGCCATTAAGTGAATAAATTTTAAATACACTACTCTGGATTTCAGTCCCCTGATCTGCAAAATGAAGTAGATGAATTAAATAACAGTGAAAGGCCCTTCCACTAATAGCAAAAACCTATGAATCTATAATTCTACCTTCCTAAGAGAAAGGTGGCCCAGTAGACTCTCTAAATGTGTAACAATAGCTCTTAGGTCTCAAGTAATTAAAATGTTTCACTCAAAGGTAATAAATAACTTATCTTAATTAAACCTCTTAAGTCAATGTTCTACTCAACCAATATGAGTAATCTCTTACATTTAGCAATTATGTTTTTTCTTTGTACATTAATCAAATTTACGTTCTACTATATAAAGCAGTTTCTCGTAAGATTTTTTTCACTTAGAACCTGACTATTCCTGTAAGGACTATTAAAAATCAAATTTATAAATCCAAATATTATTTAGATAAATGACAGGTCTATGAAGCGTAGGCCTAGAAAATTTACCAGGCCTACTTATTTCACTACTACACTCACTATATTTGTTCTGCTCCACATACAACTTTCTGTCAGGCATTCTTTTGAGATAAATTTACAAATGGTAGCAATATAACCAAGCCATAGAGCAATCAGGATTACCTGACATTTAAACCAATGACTATAACACTGCTGTCCCCAACCCCCAGGCCTGTACTAGGAAGAGGGCTGCACAGCAGGAGGTGAGCAGCAGGCAAGCCAGCAAGAGAGGCTTCATCTGTATTTACAGCCACTCACCATTGCTCGAATCAAAACCTGAGCTCTGCCTCTTGCCAGATCAGCCGTGGCATTAGAGTCTCAAAGGAGTGTGATCCCTACTGTAAACTGCGCATGCGAAGGTTCTGGGTTGTGTGAGGGATCCAGGTTGAATGCTCCTTATGAGAATCTAATGCCTGATGATCTGAGGTGGAGGTGGAGCTGAGACCGTGAGGCTAGCACTGGAAAGTGACTGCAAATGTAATAAACATAATGCACTTGAATTATCCCGAAACCATCCTCACCACCCCCTAGTCCCTAGTCCATGGAAGAACTGTCTTCCATGAAACTCAGTCTCTGGTGCCAAAAAAGTTGGGGACTGCTGCTCTAACAAACTGACTTTTTGCAGTGAAACAGATTACCAAGATATACTAAAGTAAAAAGTAAAGAACTTATAAACAGAACATTTAACTGAAAATGTAAAATTGGAGAAAATATAAATAAAACTAGATATAAAATGTACTCCAGTGCTCGAAAATCATTTCTCATGTTGAACTTTTAAAATAATATTTGGCAAATCAAGAAAAAATTTAGTGAATACAAGATTAATATGTTACCTACCTGTGCAATACCAATCAAAAATGTACATTGACAGAAAGGACTGAAAATCCATACTAATGATTTGGGAAAACTTTCCATGAGGACTATTAAAAGGCCAACAAATCCAAAAGCCACAGTGACAAAAAATTCAACTATTCCCACATGCTTTGATTTTTTGAAAAGAGGTGTCAGCATTAAGGCAAAAAATATCTATAAAACATAAATATTAAGGTTAATGCATTGTTCATATACACTGGTATGAAAACAAAATTAAATTTTGTTTATGAAAGAACAAGCTATTTTCACTGGAAAATACGTTAATTAAAATACAACTATAATTTCTAAATACTATGGTAAGGTATTTTATTTTCATATAAATAGTGATATACATGTAAAAATTTAAACTAACAATCATTAAATACTGCATTTTATATGTATATCAAAGGTAAGCGTGACCAACTCTACACTACAGAAGCCATATACAGCCATGTGTTTCTGCAGTTAGATGTGTAAAATACGTGAACAAAACAATGAATCCACAAACTTTTAAATACCAGACTGATCTTTTAAACTTATTGTGTTGACATGATAGAAAGCCAGTTTAAAAAAAAAAAAAAACAGGCAATTATATTTGGAACTATGAGAGTTATTTGTAATTTATCATTGTACAGAACAGGAGTGATAGTCAAAATATTTAACAACTGATAGAGGATGGGCACATAAACCAAACAGAATGGAAGCTGGAACCTCTTAAAACAAAAACTGGTCACTGAAAATCAAGTATTCAGCTAATATGCTAAATGAACATCAAGACTGCTAAAGAGCTATATTTACAAAGACTTATCTTTAAAACTCATCTTCCTATTGCATAAATTAACTTGAAACTGTCAAGATTTCATTAAGACAAAGGAAAACTATCTAGTACTAGACAATCTTAATTACATATATGGGTTACATAAAGATAACAACAGATAGATTCAGAGGAATTGTATGTGAAATACATCGTGTAGAAAAAAATTAATCTAAACCTGAGACTATTTTGTAACTTTCTTAAAACTATGGAGGTACAATAATGCCATATCATTTATTACTAAGTCATTTATCAATAACCAAGTAACAATTTGTCACTATAACCAAAGAAAAAGATTTTTCTGTACTACCAAATATTTTAAAAGTTATTTATTTCCATGTCAAGTTAAAATACTTACAGATGACAATCCATACAGGAAAAAAAGTAGAAATATCACAATGCTGCTACTTCGAGGGAATAACAAAGAAACTGTTGCAATGACTGCCATAAGAAGGGACATAAGAAAAATCAAACTTGTATATAGGAGAACCCAGGAAAACCTAAAATGAGAATACAAATACATTTATGGTCAAATGCATAGGCTGCAACAGTTAAAAAATCATTTTAAACAAAATTTCATATTTATTTTAGGCATTTTATCCTTAAAATTGAGTCAATGTACTCATTTCTGTGTATGCTCATGTACTGAAAATTAATACTCCTTTATGTAATTAAAATACAGCATTGGTTAAGTTATAGGTAAAAGTGTAATCTGATGTAGAGATAAAATAGTATTTTCCAAAGAATCAAAAGAGCTATAGAAATTAATAGCAATTCATGATTATTTATTTATTTTTTAGAGACAGTGTCTAGTTCTGTTGCCCAGACTGGAGTGCAGTGGCGTGATCATAGGTCACTGCAGCCTCAAACTCCTGGGCTCAAGCAATCCTCCTGTCTCAGCCTCCCAAGAATATAGGACTGCAGGTGCATACCACTATGCCCAGGTAAGTATTTCTGTTTTTGCTAAGATGGGGTCTCCCTATGTTGCCCAGGCTGGTCTTGAACTCCTCGACTCAAGCAATCCTCCCACCTTGGCCTCCCAAAGCACTGAGATTACAGGAATGAGCCACCATGCCCGGCTCTTCATAATTAATTTAAATCTAATAGTCTCAAAATTCAACAGTGCATACATAATACCTCAGTTTTTCTTAAAATACAAGAATTTAATGAATCAATGTAATAATTTTCTTTATGGTATGTGCTGCAATTAAACCTCTGATAGCTTTTGTAACTGTAAACAATAAAGGCTATTTCACTAATCAATGACATAATTACTACATTTACACAATGTGAGATCAACAAGATCAAGAATGAATTCATTATTTTTACTCAAGATTTCTCCTCTAATCAGAGCTCAATGGAATTGCTACAGTATTAGTTTTATTTTATATTTATTTTTTCAAGTTAGTAGCTCATGATTTAATGCATGATGTCATAAAATCACTGAGTTAAGGCTAAAAGGTAGGAAAATCACCAAAATTGAATCCACAATTTACAGAGGCAAAACTGAGGCACTGAGAGAATGATTTGACTAATTTCATCTACCTACTGTTTCCCCACAAAATACTTTAATAACCCAGTGCATCTTAAAAACCAATCACTTCTAAAATAACAGAAGAAAGAAAAGCAAGCAAAGAAAATATGTTATACACAATAAACCCACAATGTAAAGTGTTATAATTGTTACAATAGGCCAACTGTAATAACATTTTGTAAAATAGACAATAGCAACTCACATGCACAGTATTAAGCTTACCTCGAATGAGCTTAAAATAAATTTTCTTATTACATAGTGGGAAGAGTAAGGAAAATACAGAATTATTTATAAAAATGTATACCTCTATGAAATTATGATTGTATTAAAATGCTGAT